TGTAAATGTTGTTATTTGAGCTTCTTTTCAGACGTTCATCAGAAATAAACTCACACGTTATGTCGTCTACATTTATTTCAGCACATCAGGAGGAAAGCAGCATTTTTATTTTGCATTTCTAACATCAAGCTTCAAGTTTACAAATTGTCTTTTAATTGGTTCAGAAAGTTAAATCAGGACATTTAGTTTCTCCAGAAGAAGACATTTAATAATTATTTATAGTGTAGTTCAGTTAACAGTGTTTCTGCTGTGAGCGTGAGGGCGGGTCTGTTTCTGGCTCTGTCGCCTGATTGGCTGATGGCAGATCGACACGTTTCTGCTTAAAGTGACAGAACGAGCCGACGTTCAGAAGAAACATCATCACAGATGTTTTATCTGCGCTTCCTTCATCAGATCTGCAGAACATGAGAAATACCTACAAACATCGTGACCAGCCTCTAATAACTTCACAGAAATGAACGGAAACTATTTTGTGCTGTTTAGATAAATACAAATGTAGGAATAGAGGTAACAAAATAAAACTCCTTCAGAAACTTTTCATCCAGCATTCGTAACTTTTCCGAAGAAACATAACGTAGTTCGTAGATATCCCGTGAAATCATTTTGTATTTGAACTCAAACGACATCTTTTCTTAAAACTAATGGAGGTTTATTTTGAAAATACTTTTCATGTAACAAGCGTAATTTTGACTCGTGTTACTGGAATTTTGTAGGAAAAAGCACGAAAAATGAGGATTAACTTTTGATCAAATATCGAACCGTATGAGGAGACGTCAGAAAATAGATTTCAAATCTCAAAGCGATTCAATAAGAAATAAATAAAAACATTTGTATTAATAAACAAAATAGGATCATAACATAAAGCTGAAATTATTTATTTTGAAACTCAATTGATTACTAAATAAAGTAATTTTTAGCTTCTTAAAATCTTTTCTTATTTCTTTTTGAAAACTTCATTTTAGGTTTTAGGAAAAGAAAACAAACACAAATCACTATTTGTATCACATCTGGTACCAAACGATGAATCAAGACAATACACATAATTGTCACTTTCTAGTTTAAAGTAAACATTTACTTTATGATGCTTTCAGATTGTTGAAACTCAGTGAAACGTCTTTTTTTTTGCAGAGGGTTCAATATCAATATTTGTAGTTCTGGACTCTGATTGGTTGACAGTTGCACCTCAAGTCTGCAAAGGTGCATAACTGGACACGTTTGTCCACAGCCAATCAGAGTGGAGGAGCTCAGCAGTGACGCGTGCACAACGCGTGCATGAGAATCCAACCTTTCAAATGTTTCAATGAAACATCTTTAAAGAATGAAAGTCAGCCTGTTTGGTTTCCAGCTGAGGCTGCTGGCTTGTCAACACATGAACCCCTGAACGCATCACAGCCAACACATCGAAACACTTCAAACCAAACCTGGAACCAACGTCAACACAGTTCAACATTTTATTCTCCAAACATTGTTTTTTTAAGGTTGCATTGGCTATTTTTTTTTAATACATTCACTTACTCAAGCTCCAACATTTTACACAGCAGCCACAGAAGAAACGTCACTAATAATCCACAGAATGAAGCTCGAGGCAGCAGCTGAACCAGTGAAGTCCGCACGGAGAGCACCTTAGAGAGCGAAGCAGCGCGCGCTCCATTTATAGTATACAAAGAAAATCTGCCTCCAAAAACCAGAAGAACATCAGCATCACTGTGGTGACAGAGCCCAGTCGGAGAAGAAGCGGGAAACGCAGCAGGATGGTTTTACGCACGGATGCGCAATTTACGCACGAGTGTTATTTCTCTCATTTTATGTTTCACACCTTTAAACTGTGATGCAAATCTATACAATCCCTTTAATGCAAAGTCAACAATCACATTTAATGCTCCAGCTGTGATGCCTTCAATGGTTTTGTACTGGCGTTGGATTTGGCACATTCCTAGATGGATCCTGTAGTGTTTGGTTAAAGGAGGTACAAAGCTCCAGCAACACTTGTGGCACAAAGAGCAACTTTAATGTGCGTAAAGAGACACACCAGTGTTGCGTTTTCTTTCAGAGTCTGCTTCACTTCTGCAGCGCGTCCGTGTCGCACTGGTCCGTCAGAACGGAGAGTCTGCAGTTCTCCGTCTCCAAGGTGTTCAGCGGGATGACGATCTGCGTGTCGTCCGGCTCCGCTCGCACCGTCCCGGAGAACGGCCGCAGGTGGCAGCTGTTCGTCCCGCCGGGCGACGACATCCTCCAGAACAGATCCTTCATCTTCTTGCGGAACTCGCGGCGCATGAGGCAGTACAGCACCGGGTTCAGGCAGCTGTTGGTGTGCGCCAGGCACACGGTCACCGGGTGCACGTACGTGTGCACCATGTAGTACATCCGGTCCCAGTTGACCACGTTGAACTTCACCAGCACGCCCCAGAAGGTGATGGCGTGGTTGGGCATCCAGCAGATGAAGAAGGAGAGGACGACGATGGTGACCGAGCGCGTCACGCGGGACCTCCGCTTCACCTGGTTGTTGTTCATGCTGCGCAGGCGGACGAAGCGCAGCAGCAGCAGGTAGCACACGCTGACGATCAGCATGGGGAACACGAAGGCTACCAGGATCTTCTGGAGGTGGTACAGCGCGAGCCACGACTGGCCATCCGGGAAGCCCAGCAGGCACAGCCGCTCCCCGGCCACGCTCTTCACCGTGGAGAAAACCGCGGTGGGCAAAGAGGCCGCCGTGGCAGAGACCCAGAGCCCGGCGATCACCCAGCGCACCGGGCACACCCGCCGCCGGGTCCGGTCCTTCAGCGCCGAGGCCACTGACCAGTACCGGGTGACGCTCATGGCGGTGAGGAAGAACACGCTGGCGTACATGTTCATCACCGTCACGGAGAGGATGATCTTGCACATGGCGTTTCCAAACGGCCAGCTGAAGTCCAGGGCCGTGTCCACCGCCCAGAACGGCAGCGTCAGCACGAACTGGAAGTCCGTGATGGCCAGGTTGAGGACGAACAGGTTGATGCTGGAGCGTTTCTTCCGGCCGCGGCGCACCTTCATGAGGAAGAACACCAGCAGGTTCCCGACCAGCCCGGCAGCGCACACCACCGAGTACACGATGGAGATGAGGATGCGCAGGGCCGGAGATCCGTCCTCCGGCACATCGATGTAGTCCAGGCTGCTGAAGCGGTCCTGTCCCGCGGCAGACCGGTTCCACGAGGACGTGGCGTTGTAGATCCACAGCTCCGCCATGCTCTCCGGTAACAAACACAAACCAAGTCCCTCAGGGCGCGTCACCTCTTGCGCTCCCGGAGAAGAGACGCTTCCCGCGCGGTCAGGTGCGCGAACCTCATGTTAACCCCGCGGTGTGCGCGTGTTCTCTCTGAACTCACCGGAGCTGCTTTCACTACCGCCTCTTGTTGCTTCACTGCTGAGCCCCGTGCGCGCGCAGCTCACTTTATGCTCTGCCCGAGGAAGCGCGTGCCCGACGGAGGGGACTGACGTGTCATTTGAAGAGAGACCTGAACACTGTTCATCAGTTTAATGTTACACTCGACCTGTGTGTTCATACTGACTCTAAAGTGACAGTTCCCACCAAAAAGAACCACATATGTCTCCTCATACCTGCAGCGATTACTGATCTGATGGTTTTGGTGTGAGCTGCCAGCCCGGTATCATGTTATTTTGTGAAGGAGTCATGGAATCTATTGGAATTGTGTACAGGGAAAATGAAGCCAATGAATATTAATTAGGAGTCTTTTTTGTGGTGGACACACAAATTATTAACCCTGAACCTAACTGTTGGTTTTGTTGTCTAAACCTAACTGTTGGTTTTGTTGTCTAAACCTAACTGTTGGTTTTGTTGTCTAAACCTAACTGTTGGTTTAGTTGACTAAACCTAACTGTTGGTGTTGTTGTCTAAACCTAACTGTTGGTTTTGTTGTCTAAACCTAACTGTTGGTTTTGTTGTCTAAACCTAACTGTTGGTGTTGTTGTCTAAACCTAACTGTTGGTCTTGTTGTCTAAACCTAACTGTTGGTTTTGTTGTCTAAACCTAACTGTTGGTCTTGTTGTCTAA